CGGGGCTGAGAATAACGTGTCCTGCCTGGCTTGGTGCTCAGTGAGGAACCGTGCCTCAGTTCTGCCCCTGAAACATGCTGCGTTCAAATGGAGGACAGGCGGAGATGGGTTGCCTGTGTGCTTTGGGAGATTTCAACTCAGCTAGCAGCGTTTGTATCCCATTGTGCAGCAGTCGGTTAAAGACTTCCATTTCTCCCCATGTCTGGGACACCAGGAAGGAAGGGAAACCTCAGCTGATGGGTTTTATCGTCCTTGGCTGCCATATTGGTCCTAAAAGACATACAGCCTTTCAGGTGATCACAGCCAGACAGTCTCTGAAGAGGTCAGCTTGTCCATGCTCTTTACTCCTAGTAGTTAGGAATCTCTAAGCTCTGCCATGTATTTATAAATAAATAAATTTAAAGTGCTGGAGTGGGGACCAAGGTACAGAGGTGCCCAAGCAAGGACTGTGAGCCCCGTGCTGTAGTCTGAAGCTTAGTCAGCAGCTGGGAAGCAAGAGAAAGACTTGGGGGAGAGTCTGTTATGCAAGTTGGTTAGAGAGAGGGAGGGAGCCCCTTTGGTGCTGCAGTGCAGGGTGACGAGCAATGCCAGTTGCCTCTGAAGCACCCAGTGTCGCTGTAGAAGCCAAGTCAAAACCTTCTTGCTGAGTTTTCCATAACTTCAGGAGAGTTGTTGCTAACTGCCTTTTTTTTTTTTTTTCTGGATTTCTCCGTAGCTGATGCTTTCTGAATGGCTGGTCGATGTCCCCTTGGATCTGGAGCAGGAGTGGGTTGTAGTGGTGTGTCCCGTCGGGAAAAGGGCGCTAATTGTGGCGTCCAGGGTAAGCGGCAGCAGTGGTGATGTCTCACCATTTGGTAAAGGACCTGTATCTGTTTCCCAGCCGACATAAGACTGTGTGTCTTGCTTGACTTTTTTTTTTTTTTTTTCCCTCTCCCATTTCCTCACAGGGCACAACAGCAGCTTACACCAAGAGCGGCTTCTGCGTCAACAAGTTCCCATCCCTGTTGCCAGGGGGGAACCGGCACAATTCAACGAGCGAGAAAGGTATCGGTGTGAGGAGGCTTTTGGGATAGAGAGGGGAGAACCGCCTGCTTCTCCCTGTGAGTGTGTGCGCTGGCAGGCGCGGTGCTGCTCCTCCAGCTCCCCGGGTCCTGAAGCTGTGCCCTTTTCTGGTGCCAGGGGGAAGTTAGCTTCGGGCCTGTTCCTGTATCTCGGGATAACTAGACGTGGACAATCTCAGATACTTTTACGCTAGATAAGAAATATTTTAATTAGCTGCCTGCTTAACTGACACTCTTAAACCTCAACATCTTCTCTGTCTTCCAACAGAGAGCCTCGTACAGTGCCGTCTTTCTTAACACCTCTTGCAGTTGCTTTGCTTGTCCTGAGGAGGGGCTACTGTTGAGTAAATGCCTTTTTCTGAAACACGCCTTTGCTGGATGTGCCTCTGGCTGGTACCTTTGTAGCCTTGTTGGACTTCAAGCTAAAGGCTTTCGGTGGTCGCAGCTTCTGTTAGCAGAAGGGGGTCCCTCTGCACCTCTCGGCCTTACGTCAGGGCAGGCTTAATGCAGGAGAGATTTGATCTGGCGTTTGCCTGTTGGGTTGGGCAGTCTCCGGAGCATGTCTGAACCTCCCTGTGTTTGTGTGCGCAGTGTACTGCATCTTGGACTGCATCTACAACGAGGCAAAGCAGACGTACTATATCCTCGATGTGATGTGCTGGAGAGGACACCCTGTTTATGACTGCCAGGTACTGAATCGCCCCCCTCTGCCCTGCCCTCCCTTTTGTTCCCTGGTGAGCTGCTTTGCAGCCAGCATTGGGCATAGCCCACTGTGCAGTAGGATGGATATTTCATCTAAGCGCCAGCATCTTTACAGCTTGTGGGCTGCTGGCGACTGGAATAATTGGGTACATCTTTGGAGGGCATTGGGGAAAATAGCAGAGTTTGGGGTGCTGGCTGGTTCTGCAGGTGAAGCTGAGTTTGTAAATCTCCCAGGCAAGTGCAGAGGAATGGAGGCGCTTGGCTGGTGCCGGTCGGTGATATGTGGTGGATAGTCATTAAGTCTCTGCCTCCTTTCACAGACCGACTTCAGATTCTTCTGGCTTTTCTCAAAGATCCAAGAGGAGGAGGGGCTGGGAGAGAAAAGCAGGATTAATCCAGTAAGTTCTTTTGTACTGGGAGGAGAAGGAGGATGGGGGGTAAGCTCTCCTTTTCAGCAGGCTTCAGCACTTTCTTTCACAAATGAAAGCTTTTTGCTTTTTTTTTTTTTCCCCTCACAGATCAGGCTTCAAAATGTACTTCTAAGGAAATGGGATGCCATGTTCAGGATGTAAATAGAACCACTGAGTATTGTAAATGAGTGTGGGGTTTTTTTTTTCCCAGCCAAAGTGCTGAGGGAGATCAGACTGCAGGGTGTCAGCTAACTTCCATGCCATTTTTAGCTTTCCCTTGAAACGTAATGGAAAACCAGTGTGGTTTCTACAGGGGCAGCGTTGGTCAGCAGCCTGACTACAATGGGATTTATTCTTGCGTAGCCTTGTGGGCTCACAAGGCAAGGGGAAATGCTCGTAAAGCTTTAGCTTTCCCTCCTGCTTAAACTAACCATTGAAGTTGTTGGGATAGATGCCGGATTGCCACCCGGAGTCCCTGCTAAGCAATGATAAAAAGTCTTCCTTTGAAGACTTAGACATGGAGGTCAGACCTAGAACCCACAGCAGCTTGGAAAGTGATTTTTGGGGACAGACATAAGAGATTTGGCAGCTTGGCTTACGGAGCACGGTTTGCAAAGCGGGATCTGATTGCTGTGCGGCCCCCGTGTGTGCTCAGACACCGCTAAGCAGAGCAGCTCCTGTGAGTTGAGCAGATCGGTCATAAACGGGGATGACCGCTCCTCTGCCAGCAGCGAAGGTATCTGTATTTGAAGAACATCCTGTTCTGACTTCAACGGGAATATCCCGAAGACAGCTACCTAACGAAGGGGGAGTCGTTTCAGCTTTCGTTTCCTGGGTGGAAAGATTTGCTTGGCTGAGCCAGCAGCCTGGAGCAGACGTCTGTCTGCTTTGCATCCTGCCCAGAGGTCATCATTTTCTATTTTGGTTAAAAGAGCATCTCGGGGTCAGCTCTCCTGAAAAGTCCTTCCTGCAGCCTTAGATGCTTGGAAAAAAGGTATCAGGAGCATGTGGGAGCTCTGTGCTGAGTCTCCGCCACCCGCATCTCTCATTAAATGCCAGAGAGGGGGTCATCTGGAACTGGGACAATAAAATACCTGAAATAGATCTTTCTGGGGACTCTAGATTTCCTGCTGTCTGTACATCGTGGTGGCAATCCCCCAGTTGTCTTTTAAAGGTCATCTTCTGTTATTGCAATGAGATTTTTAAAGTTGCAGCAATGTACGTGCTTTATCCAGCAGTGCTGGAGAGATGGCAGGGATTACCTCTAAAGACTTTTCCCACCCCATCCTCTCTGGTGGGTAGGGTGATTGTTGCAGGTTTTCATGCAGGCACTTCCAGTTACTTTAGTGCGATATGATCGGCACCGATGGACAGCTTGGTCCTGTCATTTTGTCTCTAGATCTGGGGTTTCTTACGAGTTGCTGTTCTGAATCGCATCAGAGGTCTGCCTGTCCCAATAACCCATAGCAATCACAGAGACCAGTCGCTATGGAAAGAGTAAGGTATTGGGGATACCTGTCTGTCATGTTCCCTCTGACTTCATCAGCCAGTGGTTGTACTGAGACCATGGAGTTAATGGCCACCAGGGGACCTGCCTTTCAGGAGCTGGTCTAATCCTCTTCTGAACCTATTTTTGCTTTCGGGCCCCCCGTACCCTGTGGCAGGAAGGCCAGCAGTTTAATGATGTGGTCCCTGCTTGAGATCTCTCTGCTTACTTCATCTGATGCCTGTCCCTCACCCTGTCTCTCTCATGCTGGATCTTGCACTGGGAGAAATCCTTCCTTCTTAGCTACCTCCACACCAGGGCTCGATTCAGTGACTTGTTCTGCTTTAGGCCATGCAGTTGTCTCTTCTAACCCTCTTTTACTCTTTCAGTACAAATTTGTGGGCCTGCAGAACTTCCCCTGCTCCTCGGACAGCCTGTGTAAGGTGCTGGCTATGGACTTCCCCTTTGAGGTGAGAACACGCAGGCGGGGGCCTGGACCTCAGCCTTAGAGACAGCCCCGCTGCGCATCTGCCAGTGCTTGGAGAGAGGTGCATCCCCTTCCCTTGGGAACTGTGCTCTCCTGAGGCCTGCGGGAAGCTTGCTGAGCTGTGCTGTTGTTTCCGTGTATGGGGGATGGATGCTTTTTATGCACGTGGCTGATCAGTTACCCTGTCACCAGGTACAGGCTGAGTCGAACCACACTAAGCAGCAAGAGTTAAACCGTAGCATTCCCTGTGCTTGGGCTGCCTTGACTGCTGTTGACTGTTGTCTGAAAGAGCCCCTGGGGAAGAGAGGGTTGATACAGACACCCAGACTGCCTCCAGAAGCAGTGGGATAGACAGCTGACCGTTTTGGGGCTAAAGCTGGTACTGCCTGCTTCCCCGGGTGGGTTTGCCTGGGTACAGGCATGAGGATCTCTGCAGTGTGCTCCCTTATGTGGTGGTGTTTCTCCAGAGGTCGGCGAGGTGGGCAGGGTGGTGTCTTTCTCTGACCTCTTTCACGGGCTCTGTGTTTCCTTAGTCTGGCTACTTCCATCTGTCTGTGTGCAAGGCACCCAGCTACCCTGTGTCTTGTGGGGAGGAAAGAGAAGGGTGGTGGTAAGCTCCTGACAGTTTCTGAGGTGTTAGTGATGGGCGCCTGAGACGTACCGGAGCTTTAGCAGAAATGGGTGGGAGGGGTTCAGATGAGTCTGTCCTCCTGCTGCCGCTGGATCTTGTGGAGGGGACAGTGCGAGCTCTGCTTTTTGCTTTGGTACAGAACCGGTGGCTTCCTACCTTTGGCTGCTGCTGCTCTTGGCTCTCCGAGGTGGCTGTTCTCCCAGCAAGTGGCTGAACAGGACACCTGCATTTGCTTCAGCAGCTTTCGAAGTGGGTGCTGTTCAGGCCTCTCTGCTGACCTATGGGAGAAGGGCAGGACAGGCAACTCGATGTGCCACCCAGTTCAGCTGTCTGTGATTGGGAGCAGCGAGTCGGAGGCCCTTGTGAAAACAGCTCAGGCTGCTTTCGGTGCCTCTCCTGGCTGACTTGGCACTGAAGTGGAAGAGGGTGGAGGAGGTGGTGGCATTCCGGCACAGCGTCAGTGACAGACATCTGGGAGCCAGAAGCTCCTCCAGTGGCTGCAGCAGTTCCTGCGGAGTGCCCGGTCTCAGCCCTAGATCAGGAACAGCCTCTGCAGAGGTTGCTTGTCCCGCTAAGCCAAAAGCCACGTTGATTTGACTGTGCCTCTTGCGCTCTCTCAGCCCAAGTTAGCGATTAAAGTAAGTGCAGGTTTGAATTTAAGGGACGCTAATTTGGCTGTGAGGGCTGACTTTGCCTTCTGCTTGTCAAAGCCAGGACAGTTATTAGAGAGAGTCGGAAAGTCCCAGTCCCTTGCTGGTCACTGCCAGACCCTGCTCTGAACACAGTTCGGGGAGTGTTGGGAAGGCATCCCAGGTTTCCTACAGCTGACTTGCTCAATTACAAATGTTCTGAGTGCCTCTGTAGAAACAGTCATTCCCGTCTTTGCTGAAGAAAGCTTCATTCCTTCCTGAGGCATCTGCTCCCATGAGAAAAGGCTGAGGAGTATTGCCCCACTGCGGTCAGAGCAGAAACGTTTCACTCTGCAAAGGAGACTGTTGCGAAACCCTGGGGGAGGGAGATGGTGTTGATCAGACTCTCTCTTGTAATCCAGCTGTGATTTGCCCCCCAGGTTCTCCAGCTGATACATTGGGGTGCGACCCCAACAAGTGAAATGTGATGCAATTTGGCTCAAAGCAGCCAGTAACCCCACAGAAACCGTGGTGCCGCTTCCAGGGATGAAGGGAACCGTGGGTCTCTTCGTGATGTGCCACAAGAGGGAGCCCAAGAAATCCCCGTGAATAGCTTCCACCAACAGCACATAAAGAAAGAAACTTTGCGAAGGCAAAATACATACAGCCTTGCTATAGATAGTGCAGTATAATAGAGGTTTCTTTATGCCTGGGCCCAGCATCTTGTGATCCTTACAAGGATCTGGTGCGTGTGGTGGCAATAGATGTGGTCAGTGCTTTCAGATCTGGGTCTTCAGAGTTAATCTGTAACCTTAGAGTTAGGACCTGATCTGCTGTATTCAGTGGAAATTTTTTCCACTGAATTCAGTGGACTTTGGATCAGTTGACTGGCGCTGAATTTGAAGTGGTTTTTGGAGGGGATCTTAAGAGCTACTGTCCTACTCGCAGATCTGAGTAAAACAACGTTCAGGTTTCCACAAAGGCAGGGGGAGCCAAAGTCTCTGAGAAACCCTGGTGTGAAGGAATGGGCGTACTGTTAAGCACCTAAAATCTGGAAAGCATGGCCGTGAAATGTGAAATCCTGCCAGGCCAGTTTCTCATCAGGTTCGGTCGTTTAGGGACAGTGTCAGCCCTTATTCTGATGTGGCTGGTGTCAGTGCAGTGACTCAGGGTAGGGACCCGGCCAACAAATTAAATGAACTGGAAGGAATATGGGAGTTGCAGTGACTTCAGAGAAATCAGGGGAAGGAAGAACGTGACCTAACTCTCCACCAGGCTGAACTCCTTTGAATTCTCCAGCTCGGGGAAGATCTTTGGAGCGGTCTGGAAGGCAGAGGCCTTTCCAGGCTCTGATCTTTACCAAAACATTCCTGTGGGTGCCGGAGAATCCCCGTTGCTCACCAAGTGCTGCGCACCCACAGGAATGGGCTGGATGTGCAGGCGTGGTGCCGGGGTGCCGCAGAATCTGGCTCTTCCCAAGTCTTCCCTGGAGGCAGGGGGAAGAAGAAGCTTTGCACTTCAGACATCCAGAGGGTTACACAAGCTCATCATGATGTTTACTGTTCTGGTTTTATGTTTTCCTAGCACAGGAATCCCCCTTTTTCTGGGATTATTTTGCAAGATTTTAACAGCGACTGAAAATTATGGACAGAGTAGTGCAAGAAGCTCTACCCTCTCTGCTGGAGGTTAGCGTCTGTGGAGCAGAGATGGATGTATGCTGCTCTTTGCTCAGCCTGGCTCGCAGTCCAGCATGGTAGCAGATGCCATCTCTGAGGCTTGGCTCATCCATGCCTCAGCTCACTGCTGATATAGGTGCCGTTCTGCCGTGCATATTCTGGGGGCTGTAGGCTCAGAGAGGGGCCTGGGAGCAATTCAGCCCGAGGTGGGCTCTTTTTCTTATCTCTGCTGCCCACTCAGCCACTCTTGCAGGCAAATGGCCTTTTAAGAGCTTGCGAGGCTCAGCTAAGAGGAGCACCACCTCAATAATCAGCCTGACAGCAGGATCTAACCTTGCAGAGTACACCCCTGGGAAGCGCAGGAAGAGGGGGGTGAAAATCCCTTAGCATGGTGGGGAAGCGGGGAAAACGTCAGCCAGCTGCAGTATTGCAGAGTGTGGAAAAAGTAGCACAAGAGTTAGGGCCTAAACCTTCAAAGTCCTGAGTGCCCTTAACTGTCATTGATTGCTGGAGAAGTTCTCTCTTGGGAAACATGAAGAATTTATTTTGCATAAGCCAGCTGAAAGAGCTGTAGCAGCATTACGAATCAGGGCTCCTTGGCGTCATGCGCTCTGACTAATTACTCTCCAAATGTATTATTTAAAATAACCTTAATCCGGTAAAGTGTGCTGCCTTATTCAGAAACCTGATGGCTTTTCTGCGGAATGGGATCATAGCAACCAGAGGAAAAGTGCTGGTCCGTGCCGACATCAGGCTGAAATTGTTTGCCTTTGACGATTTAAAGCCATCCGGCAGTTGCTGGGCTTGCACTGGTCTTTCAGGACAGGAGCTCTGCAGGTTTCTTCTTTCGCTTCCGCTATTTATTGCACTGCTTGAGGAAAAATGATCCAGCTGGTAGTTTTGGCCTGTAAATGGAGAGCGGTGCTGTTGTCTGGCGCTCTGTCATCCACCTGCAAAAGCCTCCAGCTCTGGCCTTTCATTCACTCTCTCTCCTTTTTACAGGTTGATGGACTTCTCTTCTATCACAAGCAAACCCACTATACCCCTGGCAGCACCCCGCTGGTGGGCTGGCTCCGGCCCTACATGGTACCCGAAATCCTCGGGCTTGCTGTGCCTGCTACTGTGCTCACTGCCAAACCAGACTATGCTGGGCGTCAGCTCCAGCAGATCATTGAGAGCAAGAAGAGTAAAAAGCTGGCAGCGGAAAAGGGTCACCCGAGCAGCGCAGCGGCTGCGAGGAACGGACATTACGAGCTGGAACACTTGTCTACCCCTCGGCCAGCAAACTCTCCGGAGGGCCGGGATGAAGCAGTGAGCCAGATGGAGGATTAGGCTGCTGGGACAGACCGGCTGGGTAAGGAGAAAGCAAAAGGATCCCTGCTTCTCACTGTCACTCACGCTCCCTGAGAGGGGGGCAAAGGGAATGATAGGATGGTTTTGTTTAAAGGGCACGAAAGTGGCATATCTTGCTCCAAGTGCTGCTGGATATTTTTTTTTTTTTTTTTTTGCCAGGGCTTCTGTGAGGCCTTAACAGGATTGTCTGGTTCTTTGCTAAGGCAGTCGTGCGTTGGGAAATGAAATGATCTGTCCCCACACTGCAGGGTTCCTGGTTCAGCTCCTGACCCTGCTTCTGTTAAAGCCTCTGGCAAAGCTCCAGCATAGGAACAGCGCTCGGACCTCCGAGGTGCAGCTGCTGCTCGTAACCCCAGCCCCGGCCCTGGAAATCAGGGCATTTCAGCCTTTGATCCAGCTGTTTACCGAGGCCTTCCCAATGAAAGTTTTGTGGTCAGTCCGCTTCTAGTAATAAAAAGTTTGCAGCAGGCTGCTGTAAATCCAAAGACTGGGCTTTCCACACCCACATGTTAACTGAGGAAAACTAAATTTCCTCG